ATGGTGGAGGTGAACTCTTTATTTTAAATTATGAAAGTACGGAGACAACTAGAGTAGATACTTGTGTAGCTACGCCAAGATTATAATTGTTAACACTTTGATATATTTGCTTCATCTCTCTTTTTTCAAAGGGAAGAAAACGCAAGGCTGAAGGTCCACCCCATCTTTCCCCCCCTCCCCTCCCTAGAGAGTGTCACATATTTCCTTTTCAATGCATGTGGCTGTACATTACTATATATGTATTCCTGAACAATGTATACTACTATTGTGTATTAAAAATTTATACAAATGGTATCACATTGCATTAACCTTTCGTTGCTTTCTTTTCAAATTCAGCATTATAATTTTTTGATTTGAACTGATTCGATATGTGGGTCTTCCTACTTCGCTTTTTAAAATACTGTATAGAATTCCATTGTATGACTACAGGAAACGCTATTTTTCCCTTTACCTACTGTGTTAGAATTTGATTGTGTCCCCTTTCTGGCTCTCGGAAGCAGCGTTACATCGAGTATCCTTTCCGGGACACTGGAGTGTTGTATTGGCATGTACTTATTTACATGCAAGTTGCTGGGCCATAAGGCAGTGCACCCTTACACTCAGTGGGGAAACTGCCGTGTAAAACTTTTTAGAAATAAATAAGGGAAAATAAACCTTGGACATTTCTTCAATTTTCAAGTATGAGCATGAAGTTCAGGGTAAGGTGAAATGAAAAATGGAGCCTGGAATTTTGCACATTTAACATAATACAGAGATGTGAAAGTTAATACTCAAATCCTTTGTTAAAGTAGTTTCCTAAAATAAGTATTAAAGTAAATGAATCATTTTTAGCTATACTTTCCCTCTCCAACAATGTTTGAAAGCATTCAGATTTCTTTAAAAATTAGAACAATTTTTTTGCTACTGTGTGTGCTCGTGTTCCACTTTAAGATCCTGCTTATTTAGAAATGAGTGAAATAAGTTCTTATTTTTCTTATTTTTAAATAACAAACGGAAATGCTGTCATCTCGTGAATTTTCTGAAGATTCCCATTTAGTTTAGTTTAGAGCTTCTCTTTTTATTGAAACTGCTGAAGGTCCGGGCATTTGCAGGAATGACTTGGAGGGTTGGCGGTTAATAGCCGAGGGCCTGTGCTGCTTTAGCGTGAAGCTCATTGTTTTCGGCTGTTGGATGAAGCTGGTTATGCATGTATCAAAGATTTGGATGGTACAAGTGATTTCACTTTTATAATGAGTTTCTTCATCACTTTAACATTTTTATAATAACTTGATTTAGTAACTTTTTGGAAGACATTCATTCATTCATTCATTCAGCAAACATTTACTGATGGCAGGCCCTCTTCCAGGGAGCATGCCAGGAGTGTGGGAGCTTATATTCTAGTGATGAGGACAGCGTAAATACATGGACGCAAAATTAAGGAGTTTAACTAACTAACTAATTCCAGTTATCTCCCCTGTGTTTTTAAAAGAAAATCAGAACGGCATGAAAATGATGGGGTTGGGGCTGTGCTCAGCTGGTTAGGCTGGTCGGAGAAGGGGGGACTTCTGAGCTAGAAAGGCTGTGTATCCTCAGCTCTCAGCAACTTGCACTCAACTGTCTGGTAATCTTGTTTGCCCTGAATATGGTGCTGAGAGCTAAGAGGTAAACAAAAAGACTCTCAGTAGCCAAAATCGACTTCACCAAACAATAAAAGCCCATGTGCTTTCCTCATGGACTGATCCTGCATAGTGTTTACCATGTAGTGGGTTTCTCCATCCTCAGCAGATTCCATTGGGATCGAGTTCAGGGTCACAAGCCGTGGCTGAGTGCTTTGACGGCAAGTGAGGAGACAGCACAGTGAGACCAGAGTTGTGCTCTGGGGCTGTGCAGACAGCCAGCAGCAGTAGGCTCAGCCTGTCGATTCACGTTTCATAATGATTATTTGGTTGAAGATGTCAGAGAAGCATACAATAGATCTTTGAAAGCCCTGTATCTAAAGTGATTAAAACAAAAATATTGCCCTGGCCAATGTGGCTCAGTTGATCATCCTGTGCACCAAAAGATTGCCTGTTCGATTCCTGGTCAGGGCACGTGCCCAAGTTGTCTGTCTGTCTGTCTGTCTGTCTGTCTCTCTTTCTCTCTCTGTCCCCCCTTCTTCTCTCTCTAAAAATCAATAAAGACATATTTAAAAAAATAAAAACGGTGTTGATCATTAAAGAATTAGACAACTGAAGTATTATATTTAGAACTTGCTCTTTAAAGGTAAGACTTAGGAAATAATTAATACTCTAGAGCTGTGGTCGGCAAACTGCGGCTCTCGAGCCACATGTGGCTCTTTGGCCCCCTGACTGTGGCTCTTCCTAAGCCTTAGGAGTACCCTAATTAAGTTAATAACAATGTACCTACCTATATAGTTTAAGTTTAAAAAATTTGGCTCTCAAAAGAAATTTCAATCGTTGTACTGTTGATATTTAGCTCCGTTGACTAATGAGTTTGCCGACCACTGCTCTAGAGCTAACACTACAACTATAATTTAATAAATAATTGTAGCATCTGTGTAGAATTCCAAGTCGGATTATTATATTGCTGGTTATAATAGCAATATGAATTAATAGAGAAGGCAGCCCCATTTTGTAGGTGGAAATGTAGAGCAAATATCATTATAATTGACCATATTCCCACACCCGAGGCACAGTAGGACTTGGATTTAGATTTTATACATTTCTAACCCAGAGAGTCTTTAACTGAACTAGAGTTCGTAATCTCTGTTTTGTTCAGTGGCTCTCACGTAAGGGCACTGGGCTGCTGATGGGCACCAGCCCAAGGTCTAGCTGCAGGCCCCCTTGCGCTGTGTTACAGGTCACCTCATTCCAGGCTCACAGTGGGTGAGTGGCCAGGCAGGTTAGTGCCAAATGGATTAGCCTGTGTATCTAACAGGAGAGCAAATAGGTTTAATTGTGAAAGTCAGTAGTGAAATCTCCCCAGCAGATGTGCTTGCTGGCTTCCCTCTGAAGTCGGCCTATTCTGCAGATTGTTGCTGTGGCTCCATTGAAGATTTGCTTATACTCTCCCCTACCCTACCTGCCTCTCATCTGCCTCCCCTGCACCCCAGTCTGCCCCAAAGCTCTTCAGAGCTGAAGTAGGTGGAGATTCTGTACGTTGTGACTGCTTTGGTGCTAGTAGACTCCTTCCTATAACGTCCTGTTGTTGTTTCGTTTAGAAAATAGAACCCCCACCCCAAACAACACTTCCATATTGTGTGTGAGGTTCCTGTAAACCAGAAAGCAACATATTAAAGTGCAATTCAGAGGGGAGTTTGCTGGCTGTGTTGACTGAGCTTTGCAGTCATTTTAACACCGGCAAAAGTGTTACCCTAACTGCTTCAAATCAAACTGCAAAGACACTTGTGTGAAATACAGTATTAGATATCAAATCAAACATATGGGTGTTGAACGCAAGGATATGTGTTGTGGGTAGTATATGGTATTCCAGCATGTGGAGTTGTATTTTATGGAAATTCTTTGGCTTGGCTTATGGCAGGGACATACATTCATTATAAGATATCAAACTGTAAAATAAATAAAAGTAAAGAATTCAACTGTGCTGTTAAACGATTTTTCAGTACAAACTTGCCTGCTCTACTGACTTGGGCTCTGTGTGACGGGGGCACTTGTGACCGTGGTGGCCAGATGGTTTGTCATCATTGCTGATAGGTCTTGGAAATATCTTGATTGGTTCAAAAGAAGTGTGCACTGTAACTTTTTACATTTTTCCCTTTTACTTCATTGTATGTGTTAGGAATTACAGCGCTAATTGGTCTTTGAGGCAAAGTATTTTAATATTTTTCTCGTTTTACCATTCCCTGTTTTCATCATTCAATATTCTATAGTACATTTGTTTCTTAAGTGTGTATCTGGAACTGATCACTGAATTCTTAAGTGTGTGGGCTTCTGGGGCTCAAGTTCTTGGAGTTCTCAGATGGACCATATTGTGGTATTAACAGAATGACTTCACTGTTCTTGTCTCCAGGGTACTGCTTTTGGCCATCCTAATATCTTGTTTTTCTTTTCCTGTCCTGCTCTCTCTCCTAGTTAGAAAGAAAGTCAATAGATTTCTCATTAAAAAAAACAACACACACACAAAAAAATATCAACGGTATACTTATTACATGAGAAAGAAACGACTTTTTTTTTAATTAATGGTTTCCAGGATTTTTAGGCTTATGTAAATTAGAGATAGAGAAGACTTATTTAAGGCCATATTTTTGTTTATACCTCTTATTTTTTTCAGTGCAGTGCACTGCTTTACATCATTACCTGTTTCATCAACTAGGGAAATACTATCTTTGTATTAGATTGAATACTTTCCTTCAGTAACTCATATTGATGGTTATGTTATTTGACATTCATAATATTATTCTAAAAGGGTTTCATTTGTTGTAAAGCAGTGTAGGTTTGTGTGTGTGTGTGTGTGTGTGTGTGTGTGGTGTGTGTGTGTTTAGCAAAATATTCAGTGGAATTGCTAATGTAACTGTACCGTATGTGCTAAAAACGTAATTGGGAAGTTTTGGCCTTATTTGAAAGAAGCATGCGCCCTATACATGCACCCAAACCACAAGATTCTGCAAAATGGGAGTTAGTGAACTTGGACTGTTGGCATTCATTTTCATCTTGTGTGTCGCATGAGAATGGATTAACATAATGCTTCTTTCTTAGCTATTTTTAAATGTCAGTATTAGGAGCCCGTCCTCCCCTCCACACACACATTTTATGAAGTTACTAATATTTACTATCTGATAAAAATATTATTTTTTAAAGCAATGTCAAATTATCTTTTGCTTTCATTGATAGTATGCGAATAGAAGGCAAGGGGTCGATTTATGTAAGGGAAAGAATATTAAAAATATTGAATTCAATTGCTTAGCAAAGAACCCACTTCATGTTGCTGAATTGAAACCATATTTGATCTCACTGAATTGCACCTTTTGACTTCCTCGCTTCCTTTGCCTGCCTTTTTGACAGATGCCGCCTCAGTATGGACAGCAAGGTGTGAGTGGTTACTGCCAGCAGGGCCAGCAGCCATATTACAACCAGCAGCCGCAGCCTCCGCACCTGCCTCCGCAGGCGCAGTACCTGCCATCCCAGTCTCAGCAGCGGTACCAGCCGCAGCAGGTGAGCCCCACCAGCTGCCCTTCTCCAGGCCTCGCACTGGCCGCGAGGTCTGGTCCCAAAGACAGACCGGGCTCCTGTCCCACTTAACAAATTCCCTTCTTAGTGGGAAAAATGTAGTGTTAGAAAATGCAAAACTATAACCTAATCTAAACTGTTTGTTTATGGATGGGTGTTTGAAATTGAAAGGTAGGAAGAATGTTTAATAGCGTCTTACATTACTGGATAATGACAGCAGAAAATGTGAGACTTTTCATGTTCTTTGTCATTTGTGTTTTGAATCTTTCAAGAAAGTGGTTTGTCACTTTGAGGCTTATTCAGGAAAGTGCTTTTATCAATCATTTAATCTTGCGAGTTGGTACATTCATGGTATTTTTACCGTGAACTTTTTTTTGTTTTGTTTTTGTTTTAATGGCAAGCACCACTATATTAAAACATCGATTCCTTTGGCAGTGTTATTCTTCTGTAACCAGCTTATAAACAGCCACTTCAATTACAATATATTATAAAACTAAAAGGAATCATGTACTCTAAGTATATGAAGCAGCGTCTAGTTTAAATTAGCCTCATTAAATACTCTTGTAGGTTATGGGCTATACATTCAGCTTATATAATTTTAGGAAAACAGTAATATATGCATTTGGTAAATATATGCATTTGGTAAAATTGTTCAGTTTCATCTTGTTTTAGAGACTGTCATTAGGGGATACTAAAGCATCATGAGCTAGGGACTCTGAATCCAAATAAAACTTTCATGCACTTCATCATAAGCATCATGATGTAACTTTCCATTTTATATATTTTTTCTCTTCTTTCTCTTTTGTGGGGTAGGGCTGGTGAAGAGATGGGAAGACAGGACATTGACTTTTCAGTTTTTAAAGTGCTTTTTACACATCTTGAGATTGGTTGAGGCTAAGCAAAATATATAAATATATGAAGCTTAGTTTTAATCAGTTCAGTTGAATTCTTAAGTATTATCTTGGGTTCATTGGAGTCTTCCCACATCACTTTTATTTAAGAGTTCTAAAAGGAGTTTCTGACTTTAGACAAAATACATTAAACATGTTAAATCCTGTCTTTTGCATACATGTTTTCAAAATTTCGTTACCATGTAAAGGGATTTATCGAGGGAGGAATGTACATTATTTCCAAGTTATTTGTTCTGGTCTTTTATTAAACTGTGGGAAATTAAAAACCTTTCTCATATCTTTTTCAGTAAGAGCCTGGTGTCTGGGTTTGTGAGATGTAAAGTTATAGGTTTTTCGGGGGTTTTCAGAACTGATTGAACTTCTCTGTAGATGTAGAATGTTTTGTCATGTCATCAAAATTTAGGAAGGACTCAAGAGAGAGATTACATTACTCATTTTCCTTCAGTGTGCTGAAATGAATCTCTGATTGTAAAACCAATTTGATTAAGGATTCTGAGTGCCTGTCATTTCCTTAAGACCAAGCTCAAAATTGACTTCCTTTATGAAGCAGCCACTGATGACTTCTGCCACATGGCAATTAGTTATTTAATATCCTTCACATTTAAATATTTAAAGCATACTACAGGTAAAATTGTATTTTAATGAATAGTATTCTAATGGGCTTAGTTTAGGCTTGTTTTATGCTTTGATTGATACATATCATTGTATAGGAAATACTACATAACCATGACTTTTTAACATAAATATTGTGTTTATACTGAGAAAAACCAAACATTCCTCAGAGTATGTTGGAAATGTTTTATTTTCATGCTCCCTAACTGCCGAGTGTCTAGTATTTTTCAAGTTTCATTAAATTCATGACAGGACAAAGCAGTGGAAGGTGGACATGTTTCAGTGGCCTAACTGGAGGGTCTGGTTTGACAGGGACAGTTTATGTTTTAGAGAGTTCGATGTTCTTTCTATGTTCAGACTGACTTAGAAAGTTTCTCTGGGAAGTGAAATCTTGTGTTTTAGATATAGTTAGCACCTCCCAAAACAGAAGAATTCCCCCAAATATATCCAAAAACAAAAATAGCCAATAAAATATTTTCAAAATCAAGCTGAATTTTAATAAGAATTTGTAATACTGAATTCACATACATTTAAAAACCAAAGTGGTTTAACTATGTTTAATGTAATAAGCCAGTTTTTCACAACAGACATAATATTCCTTTCTGCAGACTTCAGTTTTGTTTCCAATCATAGCATACATAGATTTTATATTAGGGAATCAACCAGCAAATAATACTTCATGTGTCTGGTCAATGTGATTGATACAGAAGGTAATTTTAGAGTTCCATTAAGATACCTCACTCATTTTGTGTCTTTAACAATTTTTTATATATAATGTTTTGAATAATCAATACATTCATTTGCTTTAGAAATTAAAAAGTACAAAGAAAGGTCTCCCACCACAGTTTTTTTTCCCTAATCCACCACCACTCCCTCCTTTGCCAGGTAACCACTTTATTAGTTTATTGTATTTCTTCCCAGAGTTTCTTATACAAAGCAGCAAAATACCGTATTTTAATTTTTACACACATGATGGCATACTATATATAACATACTGTTTGTACTCTCTATTTTTTTGTAACCCCATTCCCCATTCACTTAAATATATTTTCTGTAGATCTCTGCAAAAAAGTACATAAGGTAGTCCTTTATTCTTTTTAATATAGCTTTATTCATGAACCGACCCTAATCTATTTTACCAGTTCTCTTTTTGTGGGCATCTAGATTATTTTTAGTTATTTGCAATTTAAACAATATTGCCATGATAAACTTTGAATATGTGCCATTTCATAAATGTGCAAGCATATCTGCAGGATAAGTTCCTGGAAGCGACACTACAGCTATAATTTTGGAAAATATTGCCAGATTGTTCCTCTTAGGGGTTGTACCAGTCTATACTCCTACCATCGATGTGTGAGAATACTTGTTTCCTGGCATATGTGCCAAAGGCATGGTTTTATGAAGCTTCTGGATTTTTGCCAATCTGATCATGTAGTTTTAATTTGCATTTATCTTGTGATTGATGGCTGAACATCTTATATATTTAAAAGTATTTGTGTTTCCTTTCCTTCAAGACTTTAAACTCATTTTTTTATCTTAAATTTTTCTATTTAGTTGTTGGTCTTTAAAAAAATTGATTTATGAAAACTCTTTATATATTAGGGAGACCAGACCTTTGTAATTTAAGTAAGTAACCACTATTCCTCATCTTGTCATTTGTCTTTTGACATATTATGGGATTTTTTTTTTAGGAGGATGGTCATATGGAGGGGCTTATATGTATATATATATGCAGTATATGTATACACATCTGATTGGTTAGGATAGATTTATTATAAGGAATTTGTCTCACATAATTATGGAGACTGGCAAGTCCAGACTCCGCTGTGTGGGCCAGCATGCTGGAGACCCAAGAGAGGCGCTGTTTAGTTGTGGTCCAAAGGCTGACGGCTGGACACCCAGGAGGAGGGCCCACGTCAAGATGAAGTCTGAAGGTAGGTGGCTGGTGATGCCTTGTGGCTTCCAGAAGCCGGTTTTTCTGTTCTAGTCAGACCTTCAGTTGATTGGATGAGGTAACCCACATTATAGAGAGCAGTCTACTTTATTGAAAATCACTGATTTACATGCTAATTTCATCCAGAAACACTCCAAGTCGACACATAAAATTAACCGTTAGAGTTCTCTTTCCCCAATTGATTGGAGATGCCACTTTTGTTAGTTACTGAATTTCCTTAGGTACAGTGTGTGGGGTTATATTCTTGATTTTTTAAAAAAAATTTTATTGGTCCTTCTATTAATGCCCAGTATTCTACAGTTTTTATTATTTTTTTCATTGCCGGTAGGGTTAGTATGTCTTCATTAGTTTTCTTTTTCAGAGTTTTGGTAGGGTTAGGTTAGTATGTCTTCATTAGTTTTCTTTTTCAGAGTTTTCTTGGCTATTTGTGTATGTTTGTTTTTTCATATAAACTTTTCATTTTCTACCATGCTTTTTCCTAAGAATGTTGTTATTATAATGTGGTCTCTTTATTTTTCATTATATTTTTTTCTGTGAAACAGATGATTCTAGACCACTGAGTTTGGGGGTTTTGTCACACTTCGTTACTGGCTGACATGGTTGGAGCCCTTCCTAGGTGAGGCTGTGAGTGCATTACATCAGGATAAGCGCAATGTTCCGTTGTCCCACAATAGTGATGTGAGGGTTGATCATAGATCCGGGTGCTGATGGCTTCTGGGACCACTTTAAATGGAATTTTTTTCGTGAGGCTTTGCAGACCACACCATTAAGTGTTGATTTTGACCAGAAACCCTGGTGATGGTTAGACTGTGGTTGCTAATTCTCAAAGGGGCCATTTTCTAGTTCCTCCTACTTTTGAGTATTAAGTTCAAGTCAGGTATTTCTCTCTTCTGTTTAGTGGGGTTTCATGCTCTTAATTGACAGGTATTTTCTCATATTTTACTCCCCTTTGGCAGGCCCTATACTACTTCTCCTTTCCCTGTTTCCTATGTAGTTATCAAATGGAAAGTTAAAATATGAGCAAAGGTCAGCTTCTATTGCTCTTACTTTCTGTGTTCTTGGTTTACTTTCTGTATGTATCTGGTTTTACTCACATTTATGTTAAGTTCCGAATGCATCTGAAAAGGCATTATATCCAATATTTTAGGTCTTTCAATGAGTAGACATTTAGAATGTCTAATCTGCCATACTGTTGGAACTGGGACTCTCTTACCACCCAGTTGTTAATTTGACATCCCTTACACAATTTAAAACTATACACATGTAATATAATAGATAATATATAATGTACAGGCAGTACATTCCCATTATATAATGAAACTTTTCTATTGTCTCCTTTATTCTTTCTAAATAAAATTCACAGATCTTATGGATATAAAATTCATAGATAGTATAGATTACCTAAACAAAATTTCAAACAAGTCAGAAAAATGCATTAACTGTATATGGAAAAGAGAAAGAAAGTAGTAGATGGTAAAATATTGAATATATAATTAGGTAAATGCTCT